AATAAAATTTAGAGATTGAGGTCTTTCTCATCTCTCGATAATAAAATATGTTATCCTAGGTCGAGAAAATTGATATAGAGAGCAAATATTTGAACATTAATTGCTTATCAATGAATTAAGAAGCAATATGAAATCACATGTATAATTTACTCAATACCATACATTGGATATCTGATATTTAGAAAGGGGGGGGGGGGGGGGGGAATAATTTCTAAAAAAAAAAAACTTATTAAACTATTACTTGCACGAGTCTTAACAAATAGTCAACTTCTCAATTTATTTGAGAGAAAACGAAGTTAGTAACGAAGTTTTATGCATTTTTAATTTTTATGGCCGTGGTGATTCCAAAGAGATTAAAGCAAGTTGTTAATTTAATTAAAGAAATTAGTTATTCTCTCTCATTTTTCACACGGTTTCACATGAACCTATGTATTTTTATGTGTATAAAAAATAAAATTATTTTCTACAATATTAAAAACAATGATACCTTAATTAATTAGTCATAAATACTGACACATTCAGATGTATAGGAGAAACACATAATTGTTAATGTCAAAAGTAATACAAAGACAAAACTCAATTACTTGCTCTTAGTTGGAATTAGGAAACACAATTCTGGGTTTTGTTTTGTGCAGGTCAGAAGAAGAGTCAGGACTCAGGAAGCGTGTAATGCACGTGTACAAGTTTAGCGACAATTGCATGGAAATGCATGCACTCTTTTGTCAGTGTATCACTGACACCATCCACCAAACACACATGCCCGACACGATGAAAGAAAGTTTGTCCAATTGATTTAACCCACGACATTGTCTTTTCCCTTTCCCGATAACCCAATCAACCTTCTCTCTTATGCTACCACCAATTACTGTAACTTTTTTATTCAAGAACTTTCTTTATTTTTGTAACTTATCTCTAAAATTAGTTTTAGAGTTTCTTTATTTTTACGAAGCTTTGAAAATAGGGATAGAATCTTTTGATATCAGTATCAAATTTAAAGTTTGATATTTTATATGAGAGTCGTTAGATAAAAAAAAATCAATGGTCTTACATGTTTACAAATTAGAGTCATTGATCTTTTTTTATCTAATGACTCTCAGATAAGATCTCAAACTTTAAATTTGACACTGGTGTCAAAGGATTCTACCCTTGAAAATAAATTCTAATAAAGATGATATTATCTGAGAAAATAAATAGGCATTTGAACACAAAGTTTGATTACAAATTCACTTTGCAAAAATAATCAAGGTTGTAATTTTTTATTATAAGCAACTAGATATTAAGTCACCAACAAGTGCTCGCTAATTGAGGTTCGAACCGAATAAAATTATATGAATTATAACTTTTTTCCTATCAAAATTCTAATATATTACATATATAGAATTCAAAATCAACGCCATTGATTAAGTTAAAACAACATCAAACTTGCAAAATTTAGTTCATATATATTTAATGTCATTTTAAATCATGTTTGGGTAGATAAGTAAAAGTGTTTTTTAATTTCAAAAAAGTAAAACTAACACTTTGAAGCAATTTAAGTGGAGCAGCTTGCCCTCCCGGAACCAATACGGCAATAACAGGAGCCGATTTTCAAGATAGTCACAAATAAGACGTCAATCATCAATATTTTATCAAATGTTTGAATAATTTAATTTTGCATCATTTTCTCAAATTTGAATTTGTGTGGAGTTTAAGAAGTCAAACTTTCATGGATTTATTAACATTTTATTTGAATATTTATTTATTAATTAAACAGAGCACAATAAGCGAGGAACATTCATAAAAGAGAGGAATAACATTTTCTTTCTCCTTATTTAAAAGATAAACAAAGAAACGAAACAGACTTTCATTATTTTGTATGCGAAAAATCATAAAGGAAGGACACAAAATGGAATATACTTGATTTTTTTTTATATAAATGATGATACTAATTAAGATTTAAATCTATAATTTCATATAAACTATCTTAGTTCCTTATTTCTAGCTCATTCTTAATGACTTGATGTCAACCCATAAGTTTATTTCCCAGTTCTTTCCTAATTTTGATAATAACTGAAATTTTGTATTGCATAGAAAGAGGAAAGTTATATTACAATCTATTTTTCTTTACAATCTCTTATAATCATATTTTAACCATTGATTTTTGTCGATCAATAGTTATTATTTTCGCAAATCAAATTCATTAATTAATTATTAATTCACAATAAATGATAACCGTTGATTGACAAAAATTAACGCTTAAAATATGATTATAAAAGGTTATAAATGAAAGTAGGTTATAAGCATAACGCTACTCTTATTTCTTTTCTATTCTCTTAAACATAATGTAAGTATAACATAAAAGCAACTTTTTATGCTCACCTCATGAGGACTATTTAAATCCAATATTTCCTTTCTTAGCAGTACCAAACGCATAAATAACCGAAAAAAAGAAATTAATAAAATCGTATCATTAATTAAAATAGGAAAATATAACATTTTTAATTAAGAAAAAATATAACTTTACAATATCTACAATGACAATTATACATAGCTATATGTAAATACATTTAAGTTAAGAGAGCAAAATTTGTAAAATCACTTATACAATTATAAACAAAACAAATATCATATAATGTCATGTAAACATTACTTATCAAAGCTAATAAAAATACTTGGTAGGTGTCTTGAAGTGGCATGCATGACTAGTGGAATACACGAGATTCTAGCTATTAGTCAATGGTTCAATGAGATGGAGAAATTAAGTCAATTCTTTTATAACAGTTGAATCAGATAAAAAATGTTGGTCTTAATTACTCATAACCAGCACGTTGTACTTGACCTACAAAAGTAAGGAAGCACTGAAATTGTCCTAGAATTGGCCTTAAGAAAATGGTAACATGTATTGGTTGACCGGTGCTAATTTATAACAATTGTTCTAACAAGTAAAAACTAAAACTCATTGGCGTAGATCTGACCAATACGTGATTTTGAAAGTTTACCTCTACTCAAAAGCATTTATTCTGCACGTAATGCGTCTTTGCTATTTATGTGTATGTCTGTTCGGTTGTGTGTTCACGTGCAAGTTGACATTTTTATGTTTTGTGCTTCTAAGTTTGTTATAAACTAAGGGATTAATGTTTCTTAGGAGATAATTTATCTCCCACACACGTAAAAGTGTGTGGATCTCATGTGGAACTTTGTGAAGGGAACAAAAAGAAAAAGAAAATATGACCCCATATATTTTTATATGTGTGTAGAAGATAAAATTATCTCCTACAAGGTAACAAATATTAATCTTATAAACTAAACTCTATTTGTTTTTAAGTGATATATAGGAGTAGTTTTGGATTAATTTTTGTGTGGATTGAAACTGAATTACTCTCGTGAGAGGGATTTTGAGAGTGAACCTCTTGTTTAAGATTGATGCATTATGAAAAATTGTTAGGTGCTGCATTAAAGTTCGGACTTGAATAATCATGGCATGAATCACACTTTTTTTTTTTTTGGTATACTGATGGGGAGACCCTCAAGCTAAGACATTCAAGCTAAGACATTAAAATATCGACGAGTTCTATAAATAGAAACAAAATTAGCAACAAAAAGAGAGAGAAGAAGACCAAAAGGTTGAAAAGAGAAAATCTGCAAGTCTTCTTGTGACCGATGGTCCAAAGGAAGATTAACAAGTCAACGAGCACAACTATTTCTTTCTCGGCATGAATCACACTTATTCAACCACTAGATGAACCATTGAAAACAACTTCGACTAAAACAAACTTTTATCTTTTCCCCCAACCTATGTTTATTCAAATTAATAGTTACTGTTAAAAAAATAATTTTTTTAATCAAATTTTATATGAACCCTTTTTTATATAAAAATAATAATTCACGCAGTTTTTCTAATTGACTGAGTAATAATACTAATTAATAAAACTTATTCTCTGCACCTTTACGTTACACATTAATGAATAACAAATATTTAAAAATTTCAAAGTCTTCTTCCATTTTTAATTCCTTTATATATATACAATAAACGTAAAACAAAATAATAATGCTTTTCAAAATTAAATTAAATTTATGCAAGTCATTAGAAGAAAACAAAAAAGACTAGTTCTAGTGAAAATTTGGAATCATTTATAAAAGGATCAGATTTGTGGAAGAGTGATATTCATGTCGTCATATAAATTGTTAAAGATGGGCTAGACGCTAGAGTTTACCAATCTTAGGGGTTTAGTTTAGCCCAAAGTCCAAACCATTCTTTGTACAGAAAGTTATCTCAAAATTACCTAAGGACCAGATAACTTACAGCATCTGGGAAACCAAATTGCAAGGCCCATTCTCATTTTTATACTCGAAAGGGCTGAAACCAATGGCTACACCATTTAAACTCTCATGCTATAAAATCTTGGTCTTTTGCTTCAGCTATTAATTTTTATTTTTTTGTTAATCAATTTCTAAAAGCAAATCAGGTTCTCGCTCTTTAATTCTTCTTCTTCTTATCATTATTAATTATTTGTAGTTGAAAAAAAGCATATAAAGGAGCAATAGAATATAGAATTCTAACCCAAAAAACAATAAAATACAATTCCAGATTTAGTGATAAGACAAATAAAAAAGCAAAGAGTAGGTGAACCCTGAAGATCAAAGAAACATAAACGTAAATGATTGGGCTAAAAATTCTCCAAGAAAAGTAACGAAGCTAAGGGTGGGGCCCTCACCCGATTAATAGTCCACTTCATTCGGTGGGCTATTCACTCGCACGCCCTACACGTACGGTCCTAACCCCAAAGACCAAGTAAAATATCACTTTTCTCTTATTCATTAGGGGTGGGCTATAACTTAAGCTAAAAGCTCTGGGGTTCGTTCCCATTTGGAAATATATAGACAAGTGTACCAAAAAAAATATATATAGACAAAAAAAAAAAAGGAGAAAAAAAAGAAAGAAAGAATCTTAAAACGAAGAAAATGAATTCAATAAATAATAATAATGGACCTTAAGAGTCCAAATTCGAAATCCAAAAGAATTGCCCTATTCTGAAACTTTTCAGAAACTTATCTCTCGAACCAGTACGAAACCACATACCATACACCAGAAACCCTTGAACTCGAAGAAGGTCCAATTAGCTTCTCGGGTTCGTTCCAAGGCCCAATCACCATCTCCCTCCGGTGAGCCCTCTCTCTCTCTCTCCTCTCTCTGCAAAACCCTAGATCTCTCTCCGGCCATCCCTGAAGGCTCGGTTTCCGGTTCGGATCCTTGTTTTCACCGTCAGATTCCGTTGACGTATATATTAACTGGTAGATCCCAAACCCTAACTTCTCGATTTGTCGATTTTTCCATTTTTCTTTCAGCCGAAGCCTCTTTTACTGTTGGTTTCTCCATGAACCAATCGTTTTTTTCCTACCTAATTAGTTATTATGCGATCAGGTCGTTCTTCAGTTTGTTGTTATTGGATTTGGTTAGATCGCGTCGAAACTAGTTAGATCGATCCTTGGATTTGGACTGTGTTTTATTTATTCATTTCTGGGTATTATATGAAATTTTTATTAGTTCATGCAGTGTTATCCCATTAAAGATCTGATATTCAAGTTTTGAGTTTGAGCATGTCCATGGTTTATGTGGGCTCTATGAGTAGTGCTTGATCAGGAATCTGCTATGGACCTTTTTCAACTGATGAGTTCAGTTCTGTTAAAACTATGATTAAATGATTCTATTTTGTTTGAGATGGGCCGACCCGACCCAACTGTGGGCCCATGTCTTCTTTGGGTTCATAGACTGTGGTCGATTACACCCTATCCAAGTCCTAATGGCTCATCGATTGTGTGACATAGAGATGTAGTCGGTTTGTGTAGTGAGTTTAGCGAACAAAAAGATAGACTTGGATATAAAATGGCCATGGACACTTCCCTTGGGCCTTCTCCTTAACAAAGTAAGGATGCAATTGTTAGATGGGAAAACTCTTGAATCATCTCGGCAAGTAAGAGGATGCTAAGTGCAGTGCTGATGTACTGGTTTATTGTGTTATTAGGACAACTACCTTTGCAAAAATACCCCGGGTTGTCTGCAAGCATGGGATCATTATTCACTATCAAATTTAGTTGTTTATACTATGTCTTGTACTCTTAAAATATGGTTATGGAGATAATAACATTCATGTTTTTTCTTTGTAAAGCAGGAAGATACATATCAAGACAAGATGGTCACCCTTGAAGAAGACAAAGTGGTCGTGACTCCTGATGCGAAAAATATGCCAGTCAGTACGGATTTTCAGCCTAGCAACGATCTGGCAACTTCCGAAACTCTGTCTGGCAGTAATGTGGAAAATTCCGAGTCTCAGCCCAACAAGGATTTCTCCAATTCCATAGCAGAGCCTAACAAAGGACTTTCTGCATCTGAAACCGAGACTTCTAGTGCTGATGCAAATGCTGGGACACTGCCCAACCATGAGGAAGACAACACCAAAGAACCTCCAAACAATGAGCAGGAGAATTCTGAATCACTACCTAACAACCAGTCAAGCAATGCTGAGGCTCCACACAACAATCAGCCAGTTGATTCCGAGGCCCTAGTCAACCCTGAAGCACTGCCCAACGATCAGCTTGTTAGTTCCGAAGTTACTCTTGACAAGAAGCCTGCCTCTGAAGCTCCGTTCAGCAACGAGCTGATTAATTCCGAGGCACTTCCAAATAATGGTGTGGTTAATTCTGAAATACAGACCAGTAATGACGTGGCTGTATCTGAAACACAGCACACTGATGAGGTGGTTTTGTCTGAAACACATCCCAGCAATGAGGTGGTCATAGCTGACACTCAGCCAAACAGTGAGGTAGTCATGTCTGACACACAGCCCAGCAGTGAGATAGTCATGTCTGACACACATCCCAGCAGTGAGATAGTCATGTCTGAGACACAGCCGAGCAATGACACCATCATGCATGAAGCACAGACTAGCAATGATGTGGTCATGTCTGAAGTTCTGCCTGAAAATGAGTTGGCCAATTCCGCATCAGATTCGAACAATCAACTTTCTCATCCAGAAACTCTTTCTGATGATAATCATCAGTTCACTAATCTCCATATGATTCCGGAAGATCAGATGCCTCAACCTGAATCTCTGCCCAATTCTGATCCCCTACCTACTTCTGAACCACTGGCAGACAGTCATCTCTCAGACATCAAACCAATGCATCATAATCATCCCGAAACTGTTTCTGTTGATAATCATCATTTCACTAATATCCATATGATTCCGGAAGATCAGCTACCCCAACCTGAATCATTGCCCAATTCTGATCCCCTACCTACTTCTGAACCATTGGCAGACAGTCATCTCACAGAAATCAAACCAATGCCTCATAATCATCTGGCCCAGTATGATACGCTGCCCAACAATCATCTGGAACATTCTGAGGCACTGTCAAACCATCAGCTAACTGACTCTGTGACATTGTCCCATGAACAGCTAGGTAATTCCCAAATGTTGCCTCACTATGAGCTGGAACATAGTGAAACACTGCACGGCAATCAGCTAGTCAGTTCTCAAACACACTATGAGATAGTCAATGCTAACACCCTACCCAGCTACGAGATAGTAAATGCTGAAACTCCACTGAACAGTGAGGAACCTACCCCAGAAACTCAGCCAAACAAGAGGAGGAAAAAGAAGTCTATAGTCTGGGAACACTTTACTATAGAAACAGTCAGTGCTGGATGTAGGAGGGCATGCTGCAAGCAATGCAAGCAAAGTTTTGCCTATAGTACTGGTTCCAAAGTTGCTGGTACCAGCCACCTTAAACGTCACATTGCCAAGGGGACGTGCTCAGCTCTTCTGCGTAGCCAAGATCCAAATCAATTGACCCCATATACTCCACGTGCTCGGGGAGGTGGTGCTGCCAATGCTAGCACTACACCAAAGCGACGTTATAGATCCCCTAGCACTCCTTATATCATTTTTGATCAAGACCGCTGCCGCCATGAGATTGCTAGGATGATCATTATGCATGGTTACCACCTTCACATGGTTGAGGATCCAGGATTTGTAGCATTTGTCCGAAATCTGCAGCCCCAGTTCAATATGGTGACCTTTAACACTGTTCAGGGAGACTGTGTTGCAACTTACTTGATGGAGAAGCAAAACCTTATGAAGTATTTTGAGGGATTACCAGGACGTGTTTGTCTGACACTGGACATCTGGACCTCTGGTCAATCCGTAGGGTATGTGTTTATAACTGGACATTTTGTTGATAGTGATTGGAAGTTGCAAAGGAGAATTCTCAATGTTGTGATGGAACCATACCCTGATTCTGACTCTGCTATTAGCCATGCTATCGCTGTTTGCCTTTCTGATTGGAATTTGGAGGGCAGGCTGTTTTCTATCACTTGTAATCAGGCAGTGAGTGAGGTTGCCCATGAAAGTCTCAGACCGTTACTCTCTGTGAAGAATCCACTTATCCTCAATGGTCAATTGCTAGTTGGAAATTGCATTGCCCGAACTTTAAGTAATGTTGCAAATGATTTGTTGAGCTCAGTGCAAGGCATAGTAAAAAAAATCCGGGATAGTGTAAAATATGTAAAAACTTCTGAATCACATGAGGAAAAATTCATGGAACTCAAGCAGCAACTTCAGGTCCCCAGTGATAGGAGCCTTTTTATTGATGACCAAACCCAATGGAATACAACATATCAAATGCTGGTGGCATCTTCTGAGCTAAAGGAAGTGTTTTCTTGTTTGGACACTTCCGATCCTGATTATAAAGGAGCCCCATCTATGCAAGATTGGAAGCTGGTTGAGACCCTCTGCACATACTTGAAGCCCCTTTTTGATGCAGCAAACATTCTTACCACAACAACTCATCCCACTGCCATTACCTTCTTTCATGAAGTTTGGAAATTGCAGTTGGATCTGAGTCGTGCTGTTATGACCGAGGATCCCTTCATTAGCATCCTTACTAAACCCATGCAAGAAAAGATTGATAAGTACTGGAGAGATTGTAGTCTGGTCTTGGCAATTGCGGTAGTTATGGATCCTCGTTTCAAGATGAAGCTTGTTGAGTTCAGTTTCACAAAAATCTATGGCGATGATGCTCATGTATTTGTCAAGATTGTTGATGATGGAATTCATGAGCTGTTTCATGAGTATGTGGCCCTTCCCCTGCCACTAACACCAGCTTATGCAGAAGAAGGGAGCCACGTGAAGATGGAGGGATCTCCAGGAGGAACTCTGCTGTCAGATAATGGACTAACAGATTTTGATGTTTACATCATGGAAACTACTAGCCATCAGACCAAGTCTGAATTGGACCAGTATCTGGAAGAATCACTGTTGCCACGTGTTCCGGACTTCGACGTATTAGGTTGGTGGAGGCTAAACAAACTCAAGTACCCTACTCTTTCCAAGATGGCCCGGGATATATTGTCTGTTCCAGTTTCCACTGTTCCTCGTGACTCTGTCTTTGATACAAAAGCCAAAGAGATGGATCATTATAGAAGTTCCTTGCGACCAGAGACAGTGGAGGCCCTTGTTTGTGCCAAAGACTGGATGCACTATGGAGCAGCTGAAGCTTCCAATGCGCTCGTGAAAATGGAATTCTAGATTTTATTTTTGTGTTAGGGGAGGGTGCGCTACTTGTGGATTGGAAAAAAAGGGGAAGAGAATGGGAGAAGGAAACGCTGGTTGAATCTACGTGCTCTTTATGATGGTAGGTTCTGCTGTTTACTTGTTGTTCCTAGTTCTAGGTTGTGCTTTTTAATTTACGTGATTTGGATGATTGGACGTGAATACTTAAATTCTAGTGTAGCTTCGGGTTTAGATGCTTAGAATAGATACTCCCTTCAGTTATGGCCTTATGGGTCAATGTAATCATTCAAGTTCTCAATGTGCAATTATCAGGATTCAGGAGCTGCAGATATTTGGATTGGGCTGGTTTTGCCCCATCAGGAATCCACCCCTTTTTTTTGTTCTCTTTTCTTATACACAGTGACCCTCCAATCGATTTTAAACACTTAAAAAATTGGCTCCAAAAATGTGACAAGAAGTTAATATAACACTTTCCTTTAAATAATGTACGCAGACTGTATAAATACACAGATGCTGCTTAATTCTTCCTTCATAATGATTAAATAAGTGATATTTTATTATGAAGAGAGATAAAAACAAATAAGTGATATGATGTTAAATTTTAACATAAAAAAATCTCATGCGTGACCAGTTATCAGTTAATGCTTGACATGTAGTTCTTCTCTAGTTACCAGTTAAGAGATGGAAGTGATGGAATCTATAACCAAAAAAAGAAAAGAAAATAACATTGTTCCTTTTAACAACATATTTCTACTACCCTGTTCTCTTTATTTCCTCAGTGGCTGCTTCATGACCCACTTATTTTAACGACAATAGTAATGTCAAAATAATAATGTGTCTAGTTTAATAAAAGCAAAATCAAAATATTCTTTCTTTATTTTAAAAGAAAAAAAAATGATACAAAAATCAAAGCGTAATGACAATAACATGTTTCTGAATGGGCTTGCTAAATTCTTTTAGGTTGATTTTCTATTCTGAGTAAAGGTACGCCTAATTTTTATTTGCACATATAGGACGAATAATGCAATACCGCATTTTTTTTCCTACTTCTTCCTTTTTCTGAATTTTGTATTTTATATTTTCTTTTAAATATATGTTTCTTCCAAATATATGACAGATAATAAAAGTAGTAACCGTAGACATATTACCAATTGGTTTTTTTTTAAACAGAACCTAGGTGCTTCATTTGATTGGTTCAACCAAGCCAATAACAAGTCTGCTTCATTTGATTGGTATTTCATATTTTTTTAGGCTTGACTTAGCGGTAGTTAATCACATTCATAATTTTTAATTATTTATTTTCTTTATTTTCAAAATATTCGTCCATTCTCTCTCTTTGTGATTAGATGAGCCGATGAGGTAGGTGACCCAAAATGCAAAAAAAGAACGAACTAACCAATAACAAGTCTACTAGAAGGAACCAGATTTGGTCCGAGCGCTGTATTTGGAGTTAATTCGTTTGGATTTTTAAATTGGAAATGGATTATTTCATGTAGAAAAAAATATGACATAGTCATGTGAGAAAATTATACTATAGAAAGATAAATCAACGGTTATAATTTTATAGCTATTTATTATAATATTTTTTTCTCTTACTTTATTATTATTGATCCACATTTGTATGGTTATGATTTTTTACATGACCATGTCATGATTTTTTTCACATGAGATTATCCAGATCTTTTAAAATTAGGTTTAACGGATTTCGAATCCCCCCAGTAATTTCTTAAATTGTCTTAATTCAATTTAATCTCATATAATATTTCCAAACCTTTTATTGTACTCATAAATTTATTATTTATTATTTAAATCAATAATTTTAAATATTATAATTATATTTTTATATTAATATAATTAGTTATTATATATGGTTTTCTATAAAGAATGGTATGGTTTAAATCAATGTTATTAAACTCAATCTGATCAATGACCCCGTTAGGTTATTAGGTCACTTGTTCAATCGGTAAGCCATTGGTTGAATCAGTATATGCAAATTTATATTTTATACTTCAAAATTCAAAAACATACTAAAAAAATACATGTAAAAAATGATATCAATTCTAGTATTCTAATATAAAAGATAATAAATCATACACTATTTGTCAAATTTATTATGCATCTTACGCATCAAATTCTACGAACTGTACTGGAAAGTTGTAAATTGATTTCGATTCAAGAGACGCTAATGTTGATGTGGACAATTTTTAGTACGATACTCTTGACTAGAAAAATCCATATTTAAGAATTTGGAGTTTTTAAAATAAAATTTAAAAAATATTTTTATTATAAACCCACACTTGGATTTTCTACCATTCAAGACAGGCACACCAAAAAAATATATTATTAAGGACTTCATTTTTAAAATGAAATTTAGAATTTTTTTACAAAAAAACAAAGAAAATAAAATAAAAACCATGAACACACCTAGTCCTTGGTGATGAAGTGGTGCTTATAAATACTGCGAAAAAAGTGGTCGTGCTAGAATAAGGATGAGACTAAAGAGCATAGTTATTAAAATCGGACCGATCCGGCCAGGTCGACCCAGAAATCGATAAACCGGTTATGCATCAGAATCGATGTGATCCGATCCGACCCGACCGGTTTTCATAAAAAAACCGGTGACTCGGTTCATTAAACGGTGATGCGGCCCGGTCCAAAATTTTTTTTCTAAATTTTTGTTTTTTTCAAAAAAAATCATAATAGCCATATTTGAATATTTTTTTTGCTTATTAACTTACATAAATTATGTACCTACAACACTAATATTATCTTAATTATGTACTATGCATAAAATTTTGAATTAATTTATAGTAAGAGATGTCATTTTTTGAACCTAAAGCCCCGTATCACGATCATTATATTTTTGTTTGATTTTTTAATTGATAATAATATGTGATTTATTATTTTTTGTATTAAAATATTTGAAATTTTTATCATTTTTTAATATAAATTATAAAATTACATATAATTACCAGATCATGCAGTTAAACCAGTGACCCACTGATTGAACCATTGACCCAGTGATTCAGTACTTCAACCGGGTCAATGACCGAACCGATTTTAATAACATTGTTAAAAAGACATTATTGTGATTGAAAACGATCTCCATGGTGGTAAGATAGAGAGACTTGAGCTTACAGCTAATGGCCTTATGAAATAAAGAAAAGATGAGAATTAACTATTGGGGAATGAAAGTGCTGGAACAAGTGGTGTAACCTGATCGTTATGAATATATTTTCACTAGGTCCAGTACATGGCCAGTCTATCCTTGTAGCAAATCGGTTAGATAACTGGTCCATTGGTTTCGTGTAGAGATGGTAACATGGGTCGAGTCCGGCGGTTCAACCTGTCAATTCATCAAAATGGGGCGGGTTGGGTTGAGGTTTTCAATCCACCAACTCATTTCAACCCGCCCCGCCTAGAAGTGGGTCAAAATGGGTTCAACCCGTCGCGGGACGGGTTGACCCGCCGGGTTATTTTTTTTTTTACAATTAGGTAGTATTTCATTTGTCATTAAATTTTTGTAATATCCAAAAAAAATTTCTTAATATTTCCTATAAAAGATAAAGAATAACAATTATATTTATGACAAATGTTATTTATATATGGAGAAAAATGAGTTCCTAAAGAATGTTTGACAAATATTAGTATATATTTAAGATTGAGACTGAAAAAATTAAGAGAAGTGTGAAATAAGATAAAATAATATTAAAAAAATTCATAAAATATAATTTTATTTTAAATTTTAATTAATTTTTTTAATTGACGGATTGGTGGGTTGACCCGCCAATCCACCATAAAACGGAGTGCGTTCAATTTTCCAACACATATTCAACGGCGGGCCAACCCGCCCCGTCCTGTTTTTGGCGGGTCGGTGGCGGGTCAGGACGGGTCGGGACGACAAATTGCCACCCCTAGTTTCATGTTGACCTGACACATTCGAGCCGAGTTTGATAACACTTATTTAAATAAAGGAAAATATTTATTATAAAGTTTTTTTTTTGGATACATATTTATTATAAAGTTAACTTCAACAACGCTAAAATTACATCATTTTGCAAGTTATTTAACAAATTTTACTTTTCTTTTATGTAATGTATTTTAAAGTTATAAAAAATAACTTAACTATTGTTACGGATTAACATTAATCCTTTTAAAGCTTTAATGTTTCTACAATATAAATATAAATAAGTTATTTATATTCACTTTTAAAACAATATTATTTTGGGTTAAAAAATTATAATAAAAAAAACTATTATAACCTGAAATAAATTATAATTATAAAAATATCTTGATTTTAGTCCCACGATGACTTCGTTTACATTCAACGTAGATAAATTATCTATCCTCTTTAAATATTTAAATTTATATATTTTATTTGAGTATAAATAAGTTGCATGCATGATGGAATGTATTCAAGTTTGACCCAGGAGTGGAGAGGATAGTAGACGGTGAGGCCTCAAGCCTGATTGCAGAGCTAAGAGAGACTGAGAAGCAGATATTGGAATAGTCTTCGAGACTGAAAGGGGAAGGGAAAGGGACGAGCTGAAAAGTGTTTGGAAGAAGGTATAAATATTGCCCATAGGCTGTTTGATTAAATGTCTCCTTTTGTTCTTCCTGAAATATTAGGAATTTGTGGAAATTGTCTTCATTCTCTTGCTTTGTGATTGTCATTTATGGACAACTTTTCATTATTGGGTATGATTACATATGTTCGATTATTTCAGTCAGTGTTAAACATATGAACAAAAGGAATATAAAAGGGGATGAGTTTTATTCATCGTGATCAAGCTGCTGGGTGCATGCTCGAGTCATATACTAAAACTTTGTTTAATCATTTAATGGGGTAGGTGTAGCCCCAAAAAAGTTTATGATTTTATGTTCTCCATTGCGCTTATTAGTTTCCAAACTCGTTTGTGGAAATCCTCAATTACCCCTGTTTAAATTAACGGTCGGTCATGTTCTTCAAGATCAGCAACACCTTTATCTCAAATTAGTTGAGGTGCCCGTGGATAAATTCAAATAAAAAGCAAGAAAATATTGAGGAAAAAAAATAAAAAATAATAATTGTAATAAAATATAATATAATAATGTTCATGTTGCCTTTTTTTTGGCGGAGGGGACAGGGGAGTGTTGGTACAACTACGTTGTTTGTCCCTGTTGATGATTGTGCACAAATTTTTACAACTTTGCTGGTACAGGTTTCTAAGGCGCAAATTAAGGTTCTTAGCTATGAATAGTGATTATTTCAAGCAGGACATTGATGAACTTATAGGTGAATTTTCTCAGGTATGATTAAGATCTATGACCAGTGCTTTTCCTCGTTGTGTTGGTTTGTTTGCTAATTCAAGGAGCTTGTTTCCCATTATATAGCTCTTAACAATGAATATTTACCGTGCAATTTTGGTGAGTGACAGGATGAGTCAACAACTTTGGACGACATGAAGAGAGTCTGGCTTTCTAAGAAGTTCTCCTACATTTATGAAGCTTCTCCTTCTACCAACCTTGCCTTCTTTATGCAATCTCTGTATGCTCATTGCATAGGTACACATGTTTAGCTGGTACATACAGCGGCGTTTTTGTATCTATAATTGTGGTAAATGCAAACCAATCACTTGAGTTTAGAAATTTGATGGATAATTTGGATGCTGAAAAATATTTCCAAAAGCAAAAGGCTGTGAAGCAAACAGAATTAAAATTCATAATATATTTATGAAAATTCACCATTATCTGATAATTATGTCATTTTAGCTAGAGAAGTTTTACTTTGTTGGCCTTTATCTTTTTTATTTCAGTGTAGAAACTCTTTTATGTTCCTATGCAGGTTACATGGTTGGTAGTGCTTCTTTATCTCACAGATTGGGTGGCCTTTATTGCCTCTACTGTCTTTATGAGACTCAACCATTTAAACCTCCCTTTAAAGTCTATCTATCCGTTGGTATGACATTTTTTCATTTGAAAATAACTGTATTATTATGCAGCTAAATTATTTGATAAATTTTGTATTGTCACAGAGTCACATTGTTTGTACAAACAGTATGGGGGGTGTATCATTAAACTCTGTTTCTGTAGCTTCTAAAATGTCAATGTAATTTTGCTTTTTGGAGTGAGTGAGACGATTTCATTTACTCGTAGTTGCTTTGATTTTCGTTTTGTGTTCACTCAATTGGGTTTGATAGACCTAAACCTGTTCTGTTTGTTTGTGTAGTTTCATACGATCGCTAATTTGTGATTCAGTGCTCGCAATCATATTGTATCCTACAATGAACATATTTCATGTATTTAATATACTGTTTATAATTACGATGGTAGAATGGCAAGCTTTTGCTCTTGCATTTGTTTACTTCCTTAAATGGGAATTGTTCTGCATCATAGAGAATCTAGCCATTCCAACATAGAGCATTCATACCTCAACAGTGTTGTGTTTTAGTGACAGACCCAATATTTCTTTTTTCCTGTCAACTTCATTGATAGGCAAAAATATGTTGTTTGGTCATTGGTGTGTTCTGCTGCTTTCTAATGGGGGTGTCCAGTGAAGTTATATATTGGTCAATGTCTTCATTGTTATTGTTACGGACCTTGAGGTCACCACCACTCTAAAAGCTAGCTCAAAGGGTGGGAGTGCCCAAGGCCTTATAAACCCCACATTAGCTTCCTATACAACCAATGTGGGACTCGTAACATTGCCACCCCCTTTAAGGGCCGATGTCCACGGCGACTTTCACTCTATCTACACTGACCAGACGGTAGCCCTTTCCCCCCTGGGCGGCTTCACTCACCTATCAGTATTCAGTGCCCAAAGGCACCTTAATCCAGCCTATAGGTAGCCCTTTCCGTGGCCTCAACTCTCAACTCTCAATGAAAGCACCAATTGTTACGGACCTTGAGGTCACCACCCCAAAAGCTAGCTCAAAGGGTGGGAGTGCCCAAAGTCTTATAAACCCCACATTAGCTTCCTATACAACCAATGTGGGACTCGTAACATTGCCACCCCCTTTAAGGGCCGACGTCCACGGCGACTTTCACTCTATCGACACTGACCCGACGGTAGCCCTTTCCCCCTTTTGGGACGGCTTCACTCATCTATCAGTATTCAGTGCCCAAAGACACCTTAATCCAGCCTATAGGTAACCCTTTCCGTGGCCTCAACTCTCAATGAAAGCACTAATTGTTACGGACCTTGAGGTCACCACCCCAAAAGCTAGCTCAAAGGGTGAGAGTGCCCAAGGCCTTATAAACCCCACATTAGCTTCCTATACAACCAATGTGGGACTCGTAACAGTTATTGTTAGTCTTTGACACCACACTGCATATGATAGGGCAGACTCTGGCTTTCCCAGATAATAGTTGCTGTAATGCGTGACAGAAGAAATTTTATCTTTCTTAATATTTTTTTGCAGTGACCTTCTTGGGCCATGCTTCATAGTGTCAGCAGAGTGGTCTATTAATGAAACATTCCTTTTTTATTTTTAATATGTGATGCATTGTCCCAGCTTTGATGCTTCTTTTTGTTTCTTATTTGTCCAAATCTCGTAATGGCTGACAATAAAAACCTAAATTTATGTGTTTGTACAGGAGAGTTAGAGAAACTTAGAATCCTTGTTGCTGATGCAAAAGCAAACGATATTAAAGTGGTACCTGCTTTAGTGAAAAGAATGCTCGAAAAAAACATGTTCCTTTTCGGCTCTGTCGACTTAATGGATGATTCTGTCACAGAGAAAGTAAACCGACTCCAACAAATACAGAATACCCGAATTCAAGTTGCATATCAAAAGTAAACCACCATTTAAGACTTATGTTCAGTATTCTTATTTCCTTGTCATGATAGTGTAGTTATCCCACCAACTTACTGTTTTCATGTATTCCCTGTGGGTGACAGGTTATTTGATAGCACTCCAATTGAGCACTACGTCCACATGGACCTTGTAAGTATCCCAGTGCTTTGTGACTTGCAAAATGATTTAATTTGTTAACTGCTCTGATTTTGCTAGGACAGAAGGGTATTTGCTTGGAATAATTAAGGGAACACAAAGTAGTTAGTTTAAACAGTTAGAACAGTTTGTTAGTTAGTTAGAGGGGATTAGTTAGATAAATAAATGGAGGGGGAAGTAAGGGTGAGGGGATCATTCAGGCAATTGTATATTGAGGAGAACCAAGGAGGTGCTCATTTGTAAAAGGGGAAATAATCATTGTTTCTTTTCTCTATTTGTATTGTGGTTTCCTAACATATTTACCTTCATATTTCATAAGGACTAGTTCACGTGAAACTTGTGGTTCCGACCAGATATATTGGGCCTGATTATTTGGTGTGACCCAAAGATGGCCACATGGTTTTCCATCCTTGTACCCAAAGGGTCTTATCGAGCTTCAGGGAACTTGCACCTGTAGGAGGGTAGCTAGAGTTATTGTTGGGTGCCTTCTGGCTTTCTTTTAGTGTAGCAGCAAGAGGTTTATTTGGACAACATTGTGTTTGGGACAGTTTCTCTCCTTTGTCAGCGGGCACTCGAGCGGCACAGTTTTCCTAGGTCCAGCAAGTAAGGGATGATGTGCATCTGCAAGGACTTCAACACTCAAGTTAGTGTTTAAGAGAGGTAGAGTTTGCACAGAGAAGGTGCGTATGTTGTTGGAGGTTATGGGTTTGAGAAAGAAAGATTTAGAGGTGCTTGAAGTATTACACCAAGAGATATCAAGTTTGGAATGTTCAACAGTGTTATCTCCAGCTTAGGAAACCCTAGAGATAATGCAAACTATTGGCCTCCAGCCCATATGAACCCAAATAAACATTGCTTTCACCTATCGGACTTGTATGTGAACATACTATTGGACTATATAATTAATATATCCAACATATGTATGGTTGAAAACAATGTATTTGTAGTGAGGTTGGGACTTGGGGTATGTGAGGTACTACTCTAGGGCAGAAGGTATGGCTCTCAGCAGTTGTGCAGGGCCGGTGCCATGGGGCAGGCGTGTGTGTGCAGTTTGCAGGTCCAAGTCTGTGAAGTTGATGGGTTGAGGGTTTATTTGTGGCTAATTGAACTTGGTGGGTTTTAGGTACATGATTTTAGCATGTTGGCTGATTTTGGAATTTAAGAAAAGGATCCCATGATCCTGAACCGATCTTACCTGAGATCGCAAATCCCAAGTTTGTCTATGAAGAGCAGATACCTGAACCGCTGGCATCCGTGCAACTACTGCCAAATATTTGATTTTTTATTGCATATATCCAATAATAGTTTCCCTATTTCTTTCACACCTCTATTCCTAATGTGGGAGGACACAATGTGATTATATTCATGGGCAGATGGGCAGAAAACTGACATATTTATGACCAAATTTTGTGAACAAGACTTGTATAAGGCATGCCACTGCTACTAATCCATGCTTTCATCTGGGTCTGTGTAGATGTTTATATCTATCTTTTCAGAAACTAATCAATCTGTTGAGAGATATATTCCTTGTAATCTCATATTAGAGATTGTGTTTTTATTAGTTTGTGATTTAATTGCACTAAACTTCCTTTCTCCTTTCCACATGTCAGGGCGAGGAAGTTGACCTCAATTTGCTGAAGAAAATGTCATCAGAATATGCTGAGGCCAAGGATGTGGCTATTAAAGGTATTTTCCCTTCCCTATTCTACGTCATAAGGTGGTGCTTCGGAATAAAGACATTTTCTATCTTTTGAATTGATTTCTTGTTGTGAAGCCAAGTGTTTGTGTTTTTCCTGTCATACTAAAAAGGGCAATGCTGGCAACCATGAAGATACACTTATGATAAGTTTATTTTTTTGTCTTGTCCCTGGGAAACTGCTTTATGTAACAAGCTGTCTGTTCTTGCTAGACATTCACCACCGATGAATGTTTTTCTTAATTTGTTTAGGCCCAAACTAATGTTGATTTTTATGTCTTGTAAAACTAATCCGGACATGCACGACAATGGACTAAAAAAAAATCTTATCTTCCAAATGTTAGTGATGGAATACATATTAGGAACATGTCAAAAAGTTGCTTTTTTTTTTTTTAATTAAAAAGAATGACACAACTTATGTCATTGGTGTTCAGGGTTCTCCAAATTGAATTGCTGCATTTTTTTTAAAAGAATGAGAATATCGTGTCCACTTACTTTTGGAACTCTTTGACTTTTTTTTGTTGGGGCCTCTTTTAGTTCTCTCTGGCTGTTGCTATTTGCCTAACTCATCAATGATGCATTTATTTTGTCAATTATCTAATCCTATATGTGTGACTTGTCTTCTTGATTTTTCTTAAAGAAGCAAGCAGCATTATAGATGTCCAAAACATAAAGCATATATCAGAGGACAAGGAACTAATAGGAGACGTCGTGGAGAAGATTGCCAATGATTGGCATGTCCAGAAGCAAACATTTTATAAACAAATAGGTTTGGAGGATGATGAAGGATATGAGCAGGAGCTGGAACAATTGCTTCTAGAGCATCATCCAGATGATGGACAGTCTAATCAAGATTGAAGACAAACATCTGAGTCGTAGTTACTTATGTATAAGGAATTCATAATATTAATAGAATAATAGCCGTGTTTGGATAGTAGGGAATTTTAAAGCAGCACTTCATAATATTAATAGTCCTGTCTTTTTTCTTTTTCTTTTCTTTCCCCGTTTGATATCAGTACTGCGCAGGGTATGATTCTTCAAGGGGTAAAAATACGCTTATACTATCTATTAAAAAAAAAAAAAAATACGCTTGCACTTGCGGTGGCACAATGACCTTTTACAATAGACGAAACTCGTGTGTTAAATTTAATAATCCAAACAAGGAATTTCACAAACGAAACGGTGGCAAGTAAATTGACTAGGTTTTATGCAAACACGAAACAAACTTTGATAATCTGGCTCAGCACAAGTTTGGAAAATAAAAAAAGTAGAGAGTTGGATTGATTCCATTTTGGCACAGGTTAATTATAATGTATTGCAATTATTAATGCATGAGCCATGACGCATTGCCAAAACTCTTCCATAGTTCGAACATAGGATCACAATCATAAGCGACAGATAAAAAACATGTTCTGCACACACCAAAAATGAATAATAATAATAAAAAGATAGAAAGATAGAAACGCGTATTTATTTCCATCCAAATTCCAAATTCCAAAACACAGCGAGTACAATAAACGAATAACCTATAACCTAGACATACTAATTCCCCAGACATCTCATCCAATCTTCTCTGATTAACGAATAACCTATAACCTAACATGAGCATAATAAACTCACAGCTCAATCTCAACAAGGTGAACCTCGTGTCCCTCTTTTGGCAAATGATCTATAGCGAAACTGAGCAACCCAGAATCATTGTCGTACTTGAAATCTACAACGTTGGTTCCCAACAAGCACCTTGTTGGTCTGGCGGACGAATAAGCACCAAACACGCCGCATCCCTTGATCTCCAAACGAGCTACCCCAACCAGACCACCATCGTTTTTAACCTCGTACACGAGTCCCTCAATGGCTCCTCCGCCGTTGAACATATTGAGGAGTCCAAGGGGAGCAAAACTGAAGCCAGGAGCCAAAAACTTAACGGGTGAAACGGCGAACACTTCATGTTCCAGCACCTTGAGGGACACCGGCATAGCCACATTGTAAGGAAGAACCACAAGCTGGCCAGAGCGGTGAGAGTAGAGGGCGCAATCACCGTTCCAATCACGGTCATCGGCGACCTCCGATATGAGGTGGACGTCGCGGCCCCTGACGTAGCCGGTGATGGCGGCGGCGGAGGCGGAGTTAGTCTGGTGAAAGGCGTTCTTCCTCTCGGCGGCGCTCCATGCCGCACCTTGGCAATTATACACTCCCAACACCCCACAGTACTTGTTCATGTTCCATATCTTGAGCAGGCTAACCCCATCACGGGCCGGGTCGGTGAACAAGCAATCCTTGGTGGGCCTACCGGGCAAACGGGCTCGGAGCACAGACCCATCAGGCAACACCATTTTCTTCAAGACATCAAAGTTGTGCTTCCCAGGCTCGTCGCTGACGTAGAGGGGCCCACCGCTGATGGCCCTAGCGGAACCATGGTACTCGGCGGCAGGATGAAAGGAATGAAACATGTCCCAATCAGGGAGCATAAACTCTCCGAGGAAGATGCTGTTGTAAGCAACAGAGGCAATGTGGATGGTGTGAGACATTGGATCACGCGGCCAGAAATCATCAGAAGCTCTAACCACAGCCGTTTGTTTGGAACAGTAGAGCGCATCAGTATTGTGGCTCATGCAGGCGATGCAACCATTGTCAGGGAAGTTTCTGGAAATGGAAGAATCAAGTGCCTGATGATACTGTCTGGTGAGTTCAACCCTGCCACCTAACCCACCACCTAAAGTCTCTAATATACACTGCACGTCCACCTTAACACCATCTATACCAGCAGATGCAAGATAACTATGCAACTGGTCGTAGAAGCTGTGAACTTTCTTGGGGTTCACAAGCCCCAAACCTTGAACCGCAAGTGGATCGATTTTCCATGTGGGTTCATTCTCCATCACTCCCTTTGACACATTCGGAAACTTCATCACAGAACCAAACTCATCCATCTCCTTCACCCCTGGCCGAACCCCACCCCAGTATCCAGTAATCGCGTGCCAAACGTAAACGTACTTCAGCGCGTGCTTCTTCTTCGCTATCTCCACTATGCTCTTTATCCCTTCTTCTTTCTTCTGAAACTTGGAGTTCTCTTTTATCCCTGTTAGCCTCTGCAACGAGTTCTTCTCTTTCTCTTTCTCGTTCTCGGGGTCGCCGGCGACGGACTGCCAACCGTCGTCGATGATGACGAACTTAGGCGGCGTTCCGCCGGCGGCGAGGGACTGAAGCCCAGCCTCCACCCCTTCCTGATTCACCTCCTGGTAGAACGCGTCCCACGTGCACCAACCGAAGTAATCGACGATCCCTGGAAGTTTCTTCTCGTCCCGCAAACGGAACGTCTTGAGGTGGTTCCTAACGGCCTTGAAGGCGTCGTGTACGACGGCGAAGGGATCCGTTCCGGCGCTGATGAAGAGAGCGTGAGTAAACGACGACGCTTTGATGTCTGCGTCGCCGCTCTCGAGACAGAGCTCAAGCTGATCCTGTGTGTTCCCCTGAAGGGAAGCTCTGAAGGAGCCTTCGATGAGAGGGAGGAACACGGTGTACACGATCTGGTTGTTCTCGTTGTCGCCGTTTTCTGATTCAAGGTGGGACCCATCTTTGGTTTCCACCAATAAGAACTGCGTCTCCAATGGGATCTCACTTCCTCTGTCTCCCATCTTTTGTGACATCCACCATAGCTTGAACCGGAAGCATGCCATGAACCGGACATCCTTTAATGTTCCCAGCGAAATCACGTGCCTGCTATCCTCCTTCTCAAACGTCGCTCCCAGAAACACTCCCTCCACCGGCTCAGACACCGACGCCGACGTCTCCGTCACGTTCTCCGGCACACCGGTTAGAATGATCCTCTCCTTCACGATCAGGTCCCGGCTAACCCGAACCGCCGGTTTGATTGTCATCGCTTCAACCTCCTTCTCTCTCTGCAGGTAATGAAAAATTTTCATTCCATTCCTTATATGGAACTGAACATACAACGAAATCTAGGGATTATTAATTTTACCTTAAAAGACAACACGCGAAAGGCTCGATTCGGAGAATGTCTGCGAATTCGGAAACATGTACAAAGGAAGCAAATTACCGTCAGCAAAAGGATCAAACAGAGAGTTTAAATGAAATAGGAAAAGACTAAGATTAAGATGTGTACCAGAAGTAGAGAGGTGCTTGTGCTTGAGCTTGAATGTTGTTGTTGATGGAGAATGAATGCGTAAAAGGAGATTGAATGGATGAGGAGAAAGAAATGGGGGTTTGGTATTTATAGTAAGAGAGGGAGAAGCATAGCATGAATTGAACACCATTGTTAACATGTTCCTCCTTATCACATCACTTGTCAAAGCAACAAACATCATCGTCTCTTTTCAAAGCTGTCAAGTAAAAATATTCACTTGCCGATCCAAGTCCCTCTCTTTTCCCCGTTGGATGGGACCGCCACGTCTGATCCACGAATAAATGCTACGTGCTATTTTCATTTATTTATTTATTTTCATGTGTCACAAAATAAATAACAATAATATTGAATGCGCTAAAAATTTATTCTTGATCCACGCGCAAACACTTTCACTCGCTTGCCACGCCCACTCTATGACAAAGTCGTTGTTATTCTGTTTAATAATAATACAGGACGAGTAAAATTTTAAAATTAAAATATGCTCACATATATAAAATGCTTACTTATTAACTTAGGTAAGATAATTAGTACAACATTTAAACTTACGATATATATAAGGGCTTGCGAAGCTCAAATACACTACCGCGTTTCTTCGCCAGGAATGTCTCGTTAATATGTGGGTTAAGTAAACGATTAATTAATATTAGCGTTTGAATGTTTTGAGCCTTGTTTTGTCGTGGTAGAAAAGCTAACGAGGTTTAATTTCGTACATAATTAATAAAAACAAGTTTCAAAATAATTGGGATTCCGTGCCATGTTGAAATTTTGGATCATGAAAGCCAGTAATAATTGGGGGGTAATCAGATGGCTGTTAGGACCCATACCTATTATTGAGGGAGAGTGATTATTTTGCCACGCTTCATCAAATTATTTACCAGACTGTCACGCGAACAGTAAAAATTCCTGAAATGTCAGCGGCATAATTCGCTATACTGTGCAGCAAATTATGTTTGCAAATAATTCGTTACACAGTGTAGCGAAATATGCAGTGTCAGGCTGCACAGTCAGCAAAAATGACACGTGTCAAGCTGGCAGCATAATTCGCTACACACCCCAGCGAATTACTGTCAGCTTGACACGTGTCATTTTTGCTGACTGTACAGCCTGACACTGCATATTTCGCTACACTGTGTTTCGAAAAATTTTACTGTTCGCATGGCAGCTGGTAAATAATTTGGTGAAGCGTGACAAAATAGTTACTCTCTCTATTATTGGGACATGCCACGAATGCAGATATGAGATGGCCCACTGATTGAGACGTCTTTGGTATAAAAAAGAGTATAGGGTTAATCGAAGGGTGCTGGATATGACGTGGTTGTGCAGAACAAGTAGGAAAAATCTTGGGAATGACATAAGGAAATGGACACGGTTCATCCACTTGGCCAATTGGGTAGTGGATGGATACACAATACGAGTACTTAAAATTGGTTTTGAATTTTCGTGTGCATATTTAACTCAATTATTGGAACAAATGATTCACGCATGTCGGATCATACACCAGAGAGGATAATACTTTTGAGGCTTGTTGATGAATAGGTTCAAGCAATCTCCTGATATCTCTGCTTGAAGAATGCAATTATGCAATTGATGTCAGATCCATTGTGCAAAATGGAAGATGCAAGGCACTTGCGATATTCATGCACTGATGTGCACTGTCATTTCAAAGTTAGAATTAGATCTGTTTTTTTTTTTCTTCTTCTTCCGGAATAGAGTATGTTGATATATGAGTGGATCTCATGCGTAGGTAATGTTGTGGAAGAAAATGTGTGAATGATCACTAAAAGACTTAAATCCGATTGTAAGATAGAAAATTAAAATGAAATCAATAATCAAGTGCAATAAAAAAAATAAGAACAACTCACAGTGTGTAAGAAAAAAGAAATGATGAGAGTATACAATGAAATCCGAGCCCAAACAAATTGTCTCCTTCAAGACAATTTGTTCACTCGCTATTGTTGAAGGTAGACGAACACCTGTCTTCCAGGATAGAACGGATTGCGTCTCAAAGATGATGCCAACTGCCAACCAAGAGCCCCAACAAATGCAACAACACGTCTTAGGAATCATAGGGATGTATGAATGTCTGCACAGATGAAGGAAAAATCTGGCAGTGTAACGATGCAAAAAATTGAATGATTTTTCTGAAGGGAGGAGCGTCTATATATAGACGCTGGAAAGTCACGATGAAACGCTGCCGGTGAACCGTTGTGACGGACCGCGGCCAAGCAGTGCAACCGGTGACCGGTTCAGTTCAGAATGAAATCGACGTTTTGGCTTGGATAATCCGGAGGGAAGTAACGGATAAGGATAGAGGTATTTTTGGACAAAAAATTAATAAAATTATTTAATAAAAATTATTTTGATTTCACACGCATGAACCGAACTGATACAAGCCTGACGAACAACGGCGACGCACAAAATGTGTAGTGCCCCAACGGGAAATTTAGTTGTGTGAGATGAGAGCTTATATACCTTATCTCCTCTTACTAGTTGTCCAATGTGAGACTTCTTAGAACCCACACCTTTCCTTTTTCCTTTTTCTTCCAAACCCCTTCTTATCCATAACTCATGGAGTTTTTATACTCAAATTCTAACAGGTGATGTTGGTGAGTATGATGCGAACGCCGACAATTAAGACAAAATATAATGATAGTATGATTCTTGGTAGTTGAAATCCAGCAGAAAATCAACAAGTGAATAAGTGTGTAAAATGTGACTCTTTAATAGTAAAAATGAATACTATAATGGATTAATATTTCTCATATTACAAGAGATAATTTTATCTCTTACATACACATAAAAGTATGTGGGACTCATACCATGTGAAAAGGAAAGAGAGAAAAAATATGGGTTCTACATACTTTTATTTATACGTAGGAGATAAAATTATCTCCTATAACATATGAAATATTAATCCCATTAGGGAAAATGATTCTCGAGCATAGAAAGACTATATGGAGGCATTTGGTAGAGGAGATATATTTTTCTACAGGGAATAAAATATTTTTGAGAATATGATGGGAAATTTTTATCCCGGGTAAGTTACGAAAAGATGTTTGGTGGGTCCAAAATTTTTCCTGGAATGTAAGGTTAATTATACTGATGATATGGGAAAATAAAAATACCATGTATCATATGGTATTTTCGTTTGGGAATATGATGTGTAAAATGGAATGATGGAAAAAAAAAATTCCTGAGATTATTTTCAGTTTTCTCATACCAAACGTTGGAAACAAATTTGCCCCACCTCACTTTTTCAGGATTTCTAGGAAAATTCCCATACCAAACAACCCATAACTGATTTTACTCTTGTGCGTCTGAATATGAGGAAAGCATACTCATCTATATGTGAGGTGTATGAACATGACACATGAGATTTTAAAAGTGCAAGAGTTTTACCTCTATAATAGATCTTGATAGTAAGTCCAATAAACTAGGTTTGTATGGCCGATACATAATATAAATATTGTCAATTGTTCAATTTTTTTACAATATAAATGAGGGGAAAAAATTGTAAATAGTGAAAAGTAAAAAGATTTTAATATATTGCTCTCCATGTGTCATTTGCCAAAGTAAATTCAACTTTGTGTTGTAAATTAAAAACAAAATGAATAAAAATTGAGGCTAACTTATTTCATCGTGTTATTAAAAATTTGAGTTCTCATGTTATTATTTAGGAAAAAAAATTATTTTTCCTTTTGTTTCTGAAATTTTTTCTCTATGACACTCATATGCATCACACATATTGTCTGAAATACCCTCTTTATATTCTAGCACTCTAACTTCGCATATTCCCAAACTGGGGGGTTTATGTTTTTGGACTGACCTAGTAGGTTTGCTTGGGCATTTTCATTTGGTTTTCTGATAGGTTCAATCCACTAACTCACCCGAGGACAAATGGTCCCTTTTGGACCTAATCTTCTCTCCCTCCTACACACGTCTGACCCTTATACGTGGGAGTCACGCAGCTTCACACCTCAGTGTAGTCTACGAGACTGGAAAATAGTTATGGCACCACACTCTCCACGCTAAGGGAATTCCCTTACTATATATATCCCCTTTTATCCTCACTCATACGGTGATCAATCAGCACTCACCAGTTATCACTGAGCTCATTCGTCTTTCTCTCTCTTGATCCTCAGCTTGTCTAAGACCTACACAGTGATCACTTTTGAGCTGTAGTTCATACTACTACCTCACTCGGTTACTATTACATAGATTTACTTCACCTTTTAAGGACACATTACTCTTCTATTTCTCTTAACAATTCACTTCCATTTATTTTATTCATCTTGTTCTCGTTAGTGTCATATAAGTTTTAATTTTTTTGCTACTTTTGATAAAGAAATATATTATATATTAATACTAAAAATATTTCTAGAAGTTATAATACAATTCCATGGGAGCTTGTAAATATGATTTGAGATGGAAATAAATTATGTATTAATCATATGTGTCATTGTCCTTGCATTTTAAATTTCTCGCCCCTAATAGCATGAGTACTAAAAATTGAGCTATAAAACCTGATCAGTCCAACTCAAAGTGGGTTGGGCCTAATCACACATAGTTGAAGTGAGACAATGTTAATGAAGAGAATGAAGGGTGAGAGTATTGTTGCCGAGATGCTAGGGTGGTTGACGAGATGTATGAGCATCTTGTGAGATGTTTGGACAACACTTTTGCGTACCTGGGCAGTTTGAGAGCGACTAAAGGGGTACCTACAAAGGCATTTTGATGCTCAAGTCAGTTCAGCATTCAAGGAGGTTTAAATATTCAAAGAGAGATATCACACTTGGGCTTAAAGCCTTTGTATTTATAGTGCTTAAGCGCCTTTGTTTCTCACCGTCCTTCATAAGACGATGTTCATGTTTACTGGTGGAGAGGGGTGGCCTCTCTCAGGCTATTCCTTGGTGGGCAAGCCTATATTCAATAGTAGATTAAGTAGGCATGGTGGCAAGATGGAGTTGTCATCTTTCATTGGTTCTTGATAGTGGCCAACTTGCCTGAGCTGCTGCTCTCGGCAATAATGGTTCCTTTCAGGCTAAGTCGCGGGGGATCTCTCCCTAAGTCTGTCATAATGCTTGTAGTTGGTGGGTGTATCATCTCATCTATTATTGGTTTGTCTATAATTTCTCCTATTTTAATAATTTCTTCTAGGAGGATTCCTATTCTGATCGGGACTTTTATCCCATTTTCTTTGAATTTTATCTTGTTTACAAGTAGCGATAAACTCTTTGAGCTTAACTTCTCTAATTGATGCCTCAGTGGTATTTTTTAGGTCAAAACAATCTTCAAAGGCGTGACCTATATCTTCGTGAAATTTACAAAAAAAATTCTTATCAAGTCTGCCTCCCTTCTTGGGTGGAAGAGGCTTAGGGACATTGACAAAATCAGTTTGGGAAACTTCCTTCAAAATGTGAGATCAAGAAGTATTTAGAGGTTATAATTTTCAACCTTTTCATACTTTTTCCTATCCTTGAACTTCCTTTGAAAACTTCTTTTGAATTCATTGGATGCAAGTTTTTCACCTGGGCCTTCTCGAAATCATTTATAGTCCCCGAGATTAATAAACTTCTCGTAGAAAGCTTAGAATTCTTCAATGATCTTTGGCCTTTGCTTGGCCAAAGACGTAGAAAATGGTCCTTCTTATAGACCATCAGTAATAAAATGCAAAGAGACTTGTGGGTCAATATCTCTTACCAGCAAGGCTTCGTCAAAAAATCTGTTAAAGAAATCGCGCAGGGTTTCTTTAACACCTTGCCTCACAGTTTTAAGCGCATGCGTGGATTTGTATTGAGCTTTTGCTTGTGGCAAATCTCACTAAGAACTAGTTGGCGGGGTCTTCCCAATTATCGATTGAGTTTGGTGGCAGAGCTGAATACCACCTGAGAGCAACTTCTTTCAACGTTGTTGGCAAGAGACGACAACCTACAACATCAGGAATGTTCTGCGGCATCATATTTATTTGGAACTGCTCCAGATGTTCTTGGGGTTTCCTTCTCCGTTGTATTTTTTGTAGTGATTATATATCCCTCGGAATAGGTATACATGATCTGCGTCGTAAAAGGATGAGCTACTTTTGAAACTATTTTTGGATTATGGAGGGAGTTTTGATCTACATGGTGATTGGCTAACATGAGGTTGATGATCCTCCATCTTTTGTTTTCCATTTTTTGATGGACCGAGGTCTTTTTTAGAGTGTTTTGGTCCATGATAATTTTCATCAAATTTTTCATTCACGCCAGGTTAATTTTCATGCTCAACCTATGATTTTTTCAATTTTGTAGCTCTTTATGTTGCTCCTCAATCTTCTGAGTTTGTTATCTGAGGAGCTCCAATATTTGCTCATTTGTAGGTGGATTATCTCGCTGAGGTGAAATTGGAGCTACGAAAGAGGCAATTATCTGGCGAGATGGCTGCCTTCCCTATCTTTTCCCCTCTGGTGACATTATGAGATTTGGACATCTTACTCCTGGGATCAACCATGTTTTTTATTTGTATGGAGTAGGAGTCAAAATTTATAGATTTCTGCAGATGACGCCAATGATCAGTCCAACTCAAAGTGGGCTGAGCCTAATCATACATAGTTTAAGTGAGAGGATGTTGATGAAGAGAAGGCAAGATGAGAGTATTGTTGCCGAGATGCTAGGGTGCTTGATGAGATAGATGAGTTCCTTGCGAGATGTTTGGACAACACTTTTGCGTACCTGAGCAGTTTGAGAGCGACTGGGGGTATCCGCAAGGGCACTTCCGTATTCATGGAGGTTTAAATATTCAAAAAGAGATATAATACCTGGGCTTAAAGCCTCTGTATTTATAGTGCTTGAGCGCCTTTGTTTCTCACTGTCCTTCATAAGACGATGTTCACGTTTTTTGGTGGACGGGGATGGTCTCTCTCAGACTATTCCTTAGTGGGTAAGCCTATATTCAATAGTAGATTCAGTAGGTGTGGTGGCAAGATGGAGATGCCACCTTTCACTGGTTTCTAATAGTGGCCAACTTGTCTGAGTTGCTGCTCTCAGCAATGATGGTTCATTTCAGGCTAAGTCACGTTTGACTTGTTGGCCAAGTCTGAAGCGAGATCCATACTTTAGATCTGAGATGGATTGGCTTTGTAGCTATATCGCATAGGTTCTCTTTGCCTTTTTAGGCATTTCTGCCATTAGGTCTCTATTTTGCATGTCGTAGGTCAAGATAAAAAATAGTGGGTTTATTTTGTTCATCAACAGATTCAAACCGCGGTGATCGAATCGAAAACTGAAAATAAAAAAAAATCGCATATTTTAATTGTATTAGATCGGTTTTCGGTTTGATTGGTAAAAATTGATCCAATGTATTATGTATTTATTATTTTCAAAAGATGGTTACTTGAAATCTTGTTGTTTTGTAGACTTGATATCTTGGATGTTATTGATAGCAAACTATCTTGTTTTAGTTTTTTATTGTCTGTTAATCTATTTTAACTCTTCAAGAGTTTTAAGACTTGTTTTAATTTGAACACTTAAATTTTTCAGTGGTTTGTAACTTTAAATGGCTTTATTTTGATATAATTAGTGATTTGTGTGACTGAAATTTTAGCCTTTTTGAAATATCGAAAATCGTTCCAATCCAAACCGAATTAAATTGGACTGGATTAGATTTTAATAAAAAATTAAAACGAACAGATGATTAAATGATCAAATAATTTTTGCTTTCAAAATTGATTCAATCAAGACCACGAACATCCCAGCTACACGTTTAATCGTTTAATATTTTCGAGCACCGTTTGAACATAATTCAGCGAGACTTTTCATATAAATGTCCTCGTATAAATAAAATTACATTGTTTTAGAAGTTTGTAATTTTATTAAAAAATAGATTGTGAAATGTACGTAACAAAAGATATACAAACAGCAAGGGTTCAGCCAATAGTGTAAGAACAAAAATTGAATCCAAACAACATAATGATACATATATTTATCGTGATAAATGATGAAACGGTATTTATGCTTTTTCTTTTCGGAGCTCTCATAAAGGAAGCTCATCACGTACGTCATAATTGTGATCCTCATTAGATTAAAATATTTATAGAAAGGAATTATATTTTCTTATATAATAGGAATAGAAGATAAGATATCTCGTGTTATACTTATAAATTTATATGGATCTCACTGTACAATAAAAGAGAAAAAAAAATTAAAATGGACTCCATACTTTTTTGAGTATGTAAGAAAGATTTGTTATCTCCTATTACACGATACTAATATTTTTCTTTTAAAAATCACGTGCTTCGTTCGTTCAAAAGAAGAGGGAATAGGTATACTTTCGACAGCTTTCACGTGATTTTTTTAATTTAATTTAATTTTATCGTATAAAAATTCCATTTTTTTAATAAATAATATATAAGTAAAGTTTCATAAAATTTTATTAAAAAATATTATAAATTTTTCATGGACAAGATCAAATAAAAAATTAAAATAAAAAATAATTCTTTATTTGGTTTCTCTGTTTCTTGAACGCCAACAGTGATTTATACTTGGATAATGTGTTGTGTATAATTAATTATTTTTTAAGATAATTAAATTAATATTTTAATACACTCTTCTTCTTCAAAAAAAAAAAAAAAACAAATTGGAATAGAAATACCATTTTCCTTAAAGCAAAATGACACATGTACAATTGAAACTTATGTTGTGAAAATATCTGTTGAACTTCAGAGAGAGATGACGGGAAAAGATCTTGGCCTTCAGTTCTTCAAGACAAGTAAAAAAATTAGTGGCCTTTAACCAAAAAGAAAAAAGAAAAAAAGAAAAATCAATGGTCTCTCGAAAGTTGGACGGTAAAAACTTGGGGTCTTTTGTTTGAAATAGTGTAAAGTTAATTTAAAAAAAAAGTAAACTTGATAATACAATAATTGTATGGTATAAGTTTTTTAAAATATTTTTTATATCTTGTTTTAATTTTACTTTTACGATGAAAAATTACTATCTTAATTTTTCATGATATGAAAAAAATAAATATCTTACAATTCAACTATTAATTTTTATTCTCATTTTTTTCTATTACGTTATTTTCATTGTCATTTGAATAGTATTGCTGGTAAATGGTAATACACCGAATAGTGTAGAAGCATGGAACATAAACTTGGGAGAAGCGGAAGAAGGGTGGAATGTGAATGAAGTGTGGATTGGACATGGATGGGTGATTTTTTTGTACTTTGCTCCAAGTTGTTCGTTTAAGACTTTGATTCCCTTTGAAAATGATGGGTGCAGAACTTGGGATGAGTCTACAATCTGTTGATCATCTTGGTAGATTTTTACACTGCTCCAGTATATTCGTTTATGATGAGACCTTTGCAAATGATGAGAGTTTATCAGCGAACAGCCACTAAGGAGACATGTCAAACATGCACTACGCTAATTCAAAATCTTCAAACATGTTTGATTTGATTAGGTAATAGGAGTCAATATCCCAATAACAATAGTGCTTCTATAAGTTTTAGTAACCCCAAATTTAAACTAAGAGAGAACCAATCGATATATGTGATAAGTAATCAAATTAGTGGTTATTACTTTAATCAATAAATCGATGCGTTTTTACAATTAATTTTTCTTTTAGCAAGACAAGTTAAATCAGAATTGTCCCACTAATAATTTAGGCATTCTTAAGTGTAGTGCTCTGTATAAGCAGCGTCAATACAATGCAGCACTCAAAGAAAGTTAGATAGCTTTTCTCAACATCTGCAATATGGCTTCAGAATCTCTAATCTTCTCCTGGCTTTCTTGCGAATCATCATGCCCTTGTGAAAAGTCAGCATTAGTGTAAGTTCTAATTCCTGGGCCATGTCCTCCAGTATCCCTTTCCTTTCCTTGCTGTGCTCGCCTCACTTCCTTTTGATGCTCTGTCAATTCTAACCTCTTCTTTTTGAAACTTAAAGAAGGCGCCTCTATTTGTGTATCCAACACTAGTTCCACCCTCTTAGAGGTCCTGTTATGTTTTGCAGTGACCCTGTATCCCTGCAGACCGTCATTAACTTCTCCACGGGATTGACATTTTTGAAGACATGGTATGCTTCTCTTGAGGAGTTTTAATTTTCCATTCCTGGATAGCTTGTCCAAGACACGAAGCAGACTCGGGGGGAAATCCAAAATAATTTGTTGACCAAACGTGGAATTCCAAAAGTTAATGGTTGGCTCTGAGATGGAGGGATATGGGTGATCAAGAGTTTTTTCCAATAAAGGTTCATGAAGTTTCAGTAAAGCTGATCCAAAGTTTATTGGAGGTTGACTTCTTCTTAAGCAACTAAGAATTTCAGTCCACAGAAATTGGAGTTGATCGTTTGATCTTTCATCTTGCATTCCCATATTTGATAGCCATTGAAGTAGCGGAGAGGAAAAAATCTGCAATCAAGAATATGGAAGATTACATACTAGTTTAACAGAACAAATTTTTTCAAGTAATGCAGATTCTGACAAATTAAATCCACTTCCCCCCAACCAATACATAAATACAATGAAAGACAACGTTAATCCTCATTAGTATTTTCAATTTTTCTAGCCAATCCTACTTGAGGGTTCTATCAGGGAGTTATTAGGGAAAGTACTCCCTCACCTTTCCAAGTTGTATAAGTACACAAAAATCAAAGAGGCTACTTTAATGACCTGTTAAGTAGAAATAGGAGAAACAAACCTCCAGAAAAAGAAGAATATCTTGCTTCCAGTGAAGGCAACTAACAAAGCATGCCAATCCAGAAAATACCCTGTGATTCACGATAAAGTGAGAGTCAAACGGAGTAACTCATTGACCAACCAAGCATGCATTGAAAGAGACAATTTATACTAACTGACCTCGAGGTCCCAACAAAACCAGGCAATGGGTCTGTCACCATCTTTATGCTTAACAAATACATATATCTGAGAAATCCACGTGAAAGTAATCAATAGCAATTTAAATATACAAGTCCTTGGTTTTCGTAAATAATTGACATACCCATAACAACTATGAGAGTAGGTTAACTAATGCCTAAATGTTGTGTTAAAATAATCAAAATGATATTCACGCAGACTGACTAAAACAGTAAAATACATATCAGAAAGTAAATTACTTGACTAACTTGTGATCATAATCTCAACATTCTGATAACTTAACCCCAGAAAATAGAATAGGCACCAATGATTTATAAAATTAAATATAAAAGAAAAGAAAAGCATATTGACATGCCAATGAAATTGTTTTGCACAACTCCAACTTAATGCACGGTGAGAGCAATTTCAGTGTTATCAGGCTATTGAAAAAGTATATCCATGTCGAAGAGGCACTTCTTCTACCATTTAACTTTACATCATACAAATATTCACATAGTCCAGATTAAGACACACAGAGAGACAGGTATTAAACAAACATTTAGAAAGGCACATCCTATCGTTACAAGACATGTTCAAACTTACTTGGCAGCAAATTTTAAGCAGTTATTTAGGCTACAGAGTATTTTGCTATCACGGTCAGATTTACTTGTCTCTGTTTCAGAAACTAATTCTGAAGTCTGAATCTGTTCTAGAATGCATATCATGAAATTGCCAGATAAATGAAGGATGCCATGGTCCATATCAGTGCATGTTAACTTGAAATCAGTGCCACTCTCAAGCATGCCAGCATTTTCATCAAGGCACTTGCTTAACAATGTGCACAAATCCCCAGAGAAATCGGTGGCTGTTGAATGTCCAAAGCCTGAAGCACTAAGAGATCCATAAAGTGATTTCCATGTTTGAATAACAAGTTCAAACCTCGTCTTTCTTTCTGGTGATGCAGGATGCTTCTCCAAAGTGGTGCTGGCATTTGACAAGGTTAATCTTCGAACTTCAGAAAGTGCCACAATGGGGTAAATTAGAAGATGACATATGGAAGAGTATCCAGTGCTGTCAGACAAGGCTTCCTGTAGTGAGTTGCAGTTTGCATCATATACGCAGAAATTCAGACCTTGAGCCACTGTTATCCATATATTTAAGTAAATTGGTTGCGCGTGTCTGTACAAGAAGCCAATACAGGTGAGGAGAATTTCCAGGGGATCACTTGAAGAAAATATAAATTTAAAATATTCACACATCCCTTGTGAAATGCAGTCTGATTGATGGGACTTCATTGTCAACTGAACCATCATATGGAAGTAAAGTGCTACCAAATAGACCAATGGAGAAACCTTATCCATATAAGACATACAACTGACACTCAAAAAGTTTAGGTTTTTGTTATGATCAGCCAATTGCATGTCATCAATGTACTTTAGGTCTAAAGAAAACTTGTACAAAGGAGATCCCAAGATGGAAGGACCTAACTCCCTTGTGATAGTATCTATAAACTGAATAGAAGTATAATACACATCATAATTTCCACAGCCATCTGAGTATAAATCTTCACATACTTTTTTCATGAATGTTAGTAATGAGTTCAAGCAACACATAATACTATCATAATTGGTAGATGGACTTTCCAAATCCAGTTTAACTCCTTTCAGAATATATACAAATAACTTTAAGGCAGCATCATAAACATGACTTCTATGATCACAAGTGACAGTTGGCCCTGATGCTTGACGGATGAGAACAAAAATCATACTCAGATAAAAGTCCAATTGACTGATGTCCCATGGCAGCCATCTAATCAGGTATTGCTTCCAAGAGCATTTGCCAGATAGAGAAGGTCCAATTTCAGAGACTCTATTCCTTACCTCAATAGTTGACAGGTACAGGACATCCCTACACTTCTGTGAAATACTATCGCTGAGCAGATCAAGGCCCAGGTTCCATAACAAGATGTTCTTGCTATCAGGTCCATTCTGAAATATTGCCTTCAGAATAGGCTCAAAAACCTTTTTTATCAATGATGGTTCATTGATAGAGGTATCAAGCTTATGTAGCAAATAACACCATGTGTTCAAGCAGGATGAACGAACTGATATATCACATTTACTAGACATGATGCCAATCAATGGAGTCATTATTAGCTTTATGCTTTTGGAAAATCCATTTGCTTGATCATCACAATTGTTCCTTCCTAGCAACTGCTGTTTCGGGAGAGAATTCTGCCCAGGTGATGTATTTTTCTCAGAAACTAATATTGGACAGAGAACAAGAGCATCAATAAGACCTTTCCAAGCAACCTGCACTCAGGGCACTTGATTAAGTCACATAAGCAGAAAACAATAAACGATGTTACAACTAGTGAGTGCTTTATTCATTAAGCTACTTTGCGTCTTCTCACTTAAACAATGAACAGATTTACATCCCACACATAGCCCTAGGGGTGGACATTATTCGGTTTGGTTTGATTTTCTATGCCAAACAGAACCAAATCAATAAAGTGGTTCTGTTCAGAGAACAAAACCAATTACATAAAAATAATTTGGTTCTAAAACAAGTTCAAAAAATAAATATGTTTTTAAATTGGTTCAGAAAAATGTGATTATTTATGATGCGGTTGGGTTTGGTTTATATGGTTTTTTGACATTCTTAGAGGTGGACAAGGCCCGATTCGGTTCATTTTATTTTATTTTTTTCAAATTTCAGTGAAGTGGTTTGGTTCTCTAAACCAAATCAGTTAAGAAAAAATGGTTCGATTCTTAAAACAGTTCAAAAAAATTGTTCGGTTCTTAAACCAATTTAGAAAAATGTGATTATTTATGATGCAGTTCAGTTTGATTCATGGTTCGATTCGATTTATATAGTTTTTTTATACACCCCTACATAGCCCGTCCCTATTAATCATGGATGAGGTAATCCAGTAACTCATATATAGTACCTGTGTAGCAATCTGAACTTGAGGGTCAAGATCTGTAAATGTACGCTCAGGAATTTTCAGCATATCATTAACTAAATGCCTATTCTTCAAAGCATGTGATCCAAGCATTTCGACAAACCATCCCCATCCTCGAATAGCTTGAATCTTCATACCATTATCTAGCAAATCCTTCATCCCACTGAGCAATTTTATCTTCATATCTTTGACAAGAACCTGTTGAGACAGAAGGAAGCTGACAAAGAGAACTGTCTAAACCACTACGTCGACCTTACAGACTGCAAGATATGCATTTGTTTTGTTTTCCACTTTGCAATACCCCAAAATGTTAATAATTTAGATAATTGTCTACCACAGCAGAAAACGCAGGCAGCAGGGATTACAAGAGCCTACTACATTACAAACTTGCCTTACAGCTTAAATAGCTATAATAGAATCACTAGAGTACAGAGTCATCTCTTTATATTGAATATCACATCAGGCTTTCAGTACCTTAGAGAGATCAAGTGAAGGAGGAATGACTGTAGATCTGATCTTCAACAGGCATCTTTCTGAGGCATCCCTCTCCCTCCTATCTGTGCTAAGAAGTCTCCTGTATATTGGAGAAGCCCATATATGGGATGAGTCTCTCATTTGCTCACTTAATTGACCAGATAGCTTCATTACAGCCTGTCATCACAAGGTTAAAAGATGATTATCAAAATAAATTTGTACACTTAGAGAGACATATACCAAGAATAAATATGCAAGGAGATTGAGACCAACATAACCAGGAAAGCATAAAAGAGCATTTCTAGTTATTTCAGTAGTAAAAAAAAACATGAACAAGATGCTAGTACAACAGACATTGTTGATATAAAGTACACGCGTACAATTTTACTATCAAGGTTAAGATGACAACACATAAATAAATTGTTTGGCTTCACATAGCACCCAAATACTATAGATGTCCTTGAGGAAAGGGAACTGCACCTGAGTAGCTTCAAATGTTGTTGACAAAGAACCCATTGGATTGTCTAGGGCATGCACAATTGCCCGTAACAAAGAATGGAAGTGAGAAACAAGAAGTGATGCACCTAACTGTTGGACAGATAAGCACCATACCCCTAAATTACATGCAGACTGCAGCAATAGTTGAGAAAGTTAACGTAAATATAGCACATGAGACAAAGAAAAAGAAAAAAAACCCTCTAGAACAAGTGAAAACAATTATCATCAGAGTGAAAAAAGAATATAAAACTAGCCTTCATTTTTGTGGTCGTAATAAGTTCGGCCAATGACCCCAATACCAAATTAGCATCATCCACTGCAAAATCAAGAGAAAAATTAACGTTGCATAAAATCAAAGTGAACCACAATGCAAAAGTAGAGAGGTTCAAATATAGCAGCAAAGCCAGATACCTTCAAGCGTGGAAACAATGGAGGGATGATAAATCATGAAGCCCAAACACTTCAAGGCTTGTGCAGCTCTAACAGTAACAGGCAAGCAAATAAATTAAATGAACACTCTAATAAAACGGAAACAAGCTTTGAATAATTGAATCGTGACGAAGTGGAAGTTGATGATGCTCACATTTCTTCATCGTCGTCTGAGATATCGGAAAGGATGGAAGAGATTAGGGTTTTGGAGGATTGTGCGAGGGATTGAAGCGAAGAGGGGTTGAGGCAAGAATGTTGTTGGAATTGCAAAAGGGTTGAGTAGCCCGAGCACTTGTTGGAATTGTCATCTGAAGAAATTAGACTATGGATTTGATGCATCTCTTCTGACATTGTTTTCTTGCAAAGATTTTCTGAACGATCAAACATTGAAACCCTTACACTACCACCTCATAACCAGGTAACCAGTGCAGTGAGAAAGACACGAGAACCAATCTTTCGCGCCAAACCGCGGTTTTGGGGTTTTTATATGGGTTTTATAATTTTCAAGTTAGATAAGAATTAAAATCTCTAGAGACAAAAAAATATACGACACCTATACGTTAGAAAAAATTATGTGTAGAATTTATATCAACATAGAAATTGAAGGATGTGTAAGAAAATATTAATTCTCATGTTGAATGAGAATTATAAAACCCTTTTATATTTAGCATTTTTTTCAAAACTTTTATATTTAGCTTTTTTTAAATAAGAGATTAATGTTTTTTCTCTATTGCAAATAAAGTTATTTCGTGTAATTTTAAAATAGAGAAGGGTTATAGTTATAATCTATTTTCGTTTATAACATCTTATAATCATATCTTAACCATTGATTTTCGTCAATCGATGGTTATCATTTATTGCAAATTAATAATTAATTGATGTGTTTAATTTGTGAAAATAATAACCGTTGATTGGCAGAAATCAACGGTTGAGATATAGTTGTAGGAGATTGTAAACGAAAATAGGTTGTAAATATAATCTTCCTCTTCAAATAATATTGTTTTGAGGTTTAGAGTATTTTGAGAATTTTACTTTCTTATTATAATATATATTTTCAGAAAAATATTTCTGTGCAGATAAATTATCTGCATTTACTTCCAAAACGACATTATTTTGGGATTAAAAAATTATAATTATAAAGATTATAATAACCATGAAATAAATTAAAATTGCAAAAACACCATAATTTCTGCCCCAAAACGACGTCGTATTGGACTTATTGCAGATAAGTTATCTGCAGTAACTGCAGAAAAAGCGAACTCATATATTTTATTAAAATATTATTTATTTCTTATTCTAAACATCAAGATTAGGGATGTAAATGGACTAGGCCGGCCTACAGGGGCCTTCGACCTAGCCTATATTAGGCCGGGCTTGGCCTATTATAAATAGTAAAATATAACATACCTAAACTTTTAAAAAAACTTATTTAGAAAATTTTTGTACTTGTTGGGCATATAAACCTATAGACCGGCTTATATCATATTATTTATTTTAAATAAGATAAATAAAATTATTATTTTAATAATTTTGAATAATAAAGTAATATTATTTTAGTTATTCTTTAAGTAAATACCCTTTTTGGTCCTTAACAAATTTCACGATAACCGCTTTAGTCCTAGCAAATAAAAAGGCTATTCATGGTCCATGAGAAATTCAAAATGAACCCATTTAGTTGAAATCGTGGTCACTCACAAATTCAAAAAAGACCCACATTAGTCCCTCAAGAGGACTAACACTTTGAATTTCTTAGGGACCACGAATAGTCTTTTTATTTGCTAGGGACTAAAGCGGACATCGTAAAATTTGCTGATGACCGAAAAGGGTATTTACTCGTATTCTTTTAATTGTTGAATGTTTAATGGGTTTAAACAGGTTAACATACCTAGGGCAAGGCTTTTTTTTAAATATAGGTCATGTCAGACTTGTATTTCAGAGCCTACACAGGCTAACAAACCAGCGCAGACCCAATATTTTTTATACAGGCCTAACCTATTTAAGCCTAATATTAACCTATTCATACCCCTAATCAAAACCACGTCGTTTGGGATTATAAGAGGTAATTTTATCTAGAGTAAATATCTTTTTTGGTCCTCAGCAAATTTCACGATGCCCGCTTTAGTCCCTAGCAAATAAAAAAGCTCATTGTGGTCCCTAAGAAATTCAAAATTGACCCATTTTAGTCCTTTTGAGGGACTAATATGAGTCTCTTCTGAATTTGTGAGGAATCACGATTTCAACTAAATTGGTCCATTTTGAATTTATTTTTTTTGGATAATGTAGAAAAATACAGCAAACAAACTAACTACTAATGTATCTGGGCATCCCAACGCCCTTACAATCCAAAACCAACAGGGGACCACAATTAGGAGGGGGACTATTATACCAGGTGATACTATTATCCTCCACAGCATGTTGAGAAGCTAACCAGTCAGCCACCTTGTTCCCTTCACGAAAGATATGAGCCACTTCAATCTTCCAAGATTTCTCCATCAAACATTTAATTGCCTGGACTATAGATGAGTATAGACTAGGTGTCTCACACTCTCTAGAGATCATTTGTATAGCATACATGGAATCACTTTCCAGCACCACTTGCTGCATACCTTCATTCCAGGCCCAGTTTAGGCCAGTAAGCATCCCACAAAGCTCAACCATGAGGGCAGTACCTTGTCTCAACTTCCTTGAATAACCTGTAATCCACTCTCCACTAGCATTTCTGATTACTTCTCCACGCCCAATCGTAGAACCATTATCGGCACAGGAACCATCCGAATTCATTTTCATCCAGCCATGAGGAGGAGGGCTCCATTTAACTAAAACTTCAGTAATTTCTCCTCCCACTAGTCCTGCACTAGTTAGCAAGCCATTAGCCAAATCACAGTTTTGCACATGATTGAGGACTTGTTGACTAGCCTCATAGGGAGACTTGTAAGACCCTTCGAACGCAAGGCTGTTCTTGCAATGCCAAATAGTCTAGCAAGTAATTCCAAAAAATTTCCTCCAAGACTTATTTGACTTTCTTCTATTGAGATTTATGTCAAGCCAAACCTTGAAGTCACCACTATAAAAGTTGTTCTGCTCTCTGCTATTAATAAGATGCATCCAAACCTGTCTAGTCCAGCTACAATTTCGAAAGATGTGCAGGCAGTCTTCAAATGAATAATGACACCGAGGACATGAGCCATCCTTGCTCATGTGTCTTTGCACTCTTCGATCATTTGTCATCAATTTTCCTCCAAGAAGGAGCCAAATAAAATATTTAATTCTTTGGGGACCCTCCCAATCCCAAGCAAGGTTCCAATTGCAACCACCAGAAGCATGGTTAGAAGGGAGAATATTCAGATAAGCAGATTTAATAGAAAATAATCCTGTTGGGAAAAAATTCCAGAGAACTTTGTCTTCTCCAGCTTCTAATGAGGGGGGATTAAACCTGCAATCACATCCAAGTCTTCATTCGCCAGATAAAGATCCAGCTTGCTCCAATCCTAATTCCCTTCATCATTGATACAGTCAGCAATGGTCCAATTACTAACATCTTCTGGAAGAGGGGCAATAGATCTATCTTGAAGTTTTCTTATCCCAAGCAGCCAATTATTTTTCCAGAATTTTGTGTTTAGCCCATCTCCTATCAAAACTCTTCAACCATCACAAACATTGTTCCAAGCTCTACACACTCATTTCCAAGTGTTAGATACAATCTTCCTTTCGCTCAGAGTAGGAATAATATCATTTCTCACCTTATATTTACTTCGCAGGACTTGTGCCCAAAAAGCATTTATATTAGTGAGAAAACCATGCCCAATTTTCATGGCAAAAGCTTTATTAACCATTCTTTGGTCTCTGAATCCCAGTCCCCCTTCCTCTTTAGGTTGACAAATTTTCTTCCAGCCCACCAAATGCATTTTCCTCTTGATCTGGTTGGAACCCCAAATAAAGTTTCTAGTTAATTTCTCCACTTCATTGCATAAGCTAGTAGGGAGGGTTGTTGTTTGCATGGTATATGCTGGAAATGTTTCCAGCACAGATTTAGTAATAGTTGCTCGGCCTACTAGAGATAAGGACCGTTGGTTCCAAGAAGATAGTCGGTTATGTACCCTTTCAATTACATGATTGAAAATATTTTGAGATACTCTTTTGTGGAATAGGGGAACACCAAGATATTTCCCCAAATATGCAGTGAGCCCAACTCCCAAGCAATCACTCAGCTCCTTGGCTTTGTTAAATCCCACATTTGTAGAAAAGCAAACTCTGGTTTTGTCATAGCTCACCTTTTGGCCCGATGCCTCAGTGAAGATTTTAAGCACTTGGTTGATGATGTGAGCTTGGTCCAGGGAAGCTTCCGCACACAGAATGATATCATCTGCAAAGAATAAGTGAGAAATAGGAGGAGCTTCCTTGTTCAGCCTTATAGGCTTCAGAGCATTGTCTTCAACAACCATCTGGATCACATGGTCCAACCTTTCCACACATAAAACAAATAAATAAGGGGATATGGGATCCCCTTGTCTAATGCCCATCCGAGGTTTAAATTCCATGGTTGTAGTTCCATTCCACAAGACATTCATGGTGCTAGTAGAGATACAATTGTACAGCAAGTTGACCAGATTATTAGGGATCTCCATGTCAGTCAGAGTTTCCTTAATAAATTTCCAACTCAGGCGGTCATATGCCTTCCCCAAGTCCACCTTAATCATCATACACCCTTTATCCCCTCTCTTGTATTTCATGGAATGAATGATTTCCTGAGCAATAATAATGTTGTCAGCACTTTGTTTTCCTCTTATGAAACCGCATTGATTGGGGGTAACCAGCCTAGGCATAAGTTCCCTCAACCTCTCAGCAATCAGCTTAGTTATGGCTTTATAAGTGACATTACATAGATTGATTGGTCTGAACTCCTTCATGGATTCTGGATTTTCTTTCTTAGGAATAAGACAAAGAAGAGTCTTGTTAATCTCTTTGACTTTCTTGGGATCCTTAAAGATGTCAATAATCAGATTGCAAACAGAATTACCTACATTGTTCCATTGGGACTGGAAAAAGACTGCTCGAAGACCATCAGGGCCAGGAGCCTTAAACTTCCCCATCTTGAATATAGTTTTTTTTATCTCCTCATGACTAGGGACAACAGCCATCCTTTCCTTTTCCCGAGGAGATAGAGTAGGGAAGGCTCCATTAAAGGGAAAGTCACCATCATCCTCCTCTCCAGCAGAAAATAGCTCCTCATAGAAGCTAACAACCATATTAACAAGCTTATATTTATTAGCAACCCAATCTCCTTGTTTATTCTTCAGGGTTATGATCTTGTCGTGTCTCCTTCTACTAATAGTTGTTGAGTGAAAAAATTTGGTATTTTTGTCCCCAAATTTGAGCCAATGGCATCT